ACCTATTACAAATCATAAAAGAAAAAATAATAGGGAAAAATATAAACCTAAAACTAACCAAAATTAAAGTACACACAGATATACCATTAAATGATAAAGCAGATGAACTAGCTCAAAAAGAAACAATAAACAAAACGATAGTAGATCTTAACTACGAACATTCTTTTGCCAAAAACTATTAATTAAAACATGAAAACAAATTCTTAGATCATTCAATATAAGAATTAATCAAAAACATAAGTAATATCCAAAATCTAATCAATTGGAAAATACAACTTAGATTTATTTAGTCCTTCAATAGAAATATAGAAAAAACAGTAGATTGGAATCAACGAAAGAAGCTTTAATACACTCAAAACTAATAAACGGAGAAACATCAAATACAGATCAAAGTTTAAGAATATTTAGAATTAAAATAATATGTGATGAACTATTAACATACACAAGATTAAATAACCTCAAAGAAGAAATATATGATAGTTCTAAATGTCCACGATGTAAAACGTAAAAAGAAACAACACTTCACATTTTTACATGTCAAACTAATAAAGAAAATTTTAAACAAATATGGATCAAAACAATTAAAAAACACCTTAAAGAACTAAATATTAACCATGAAAAAACTAGAAACTTCATAAGAGAAAAAATAATAAAAAACAAATTATATTCTTTCAACCCAAATAGAACAAATACATGGAAAATAACAAAAGACTCGAAATTCAGTCTAAGCGATATAATAAGAGGACTTATACCGAAACAACTAATCGACCAACTGGCAGCAGTAACAAGGTTAGACAGAAAAACAACCAAAGGAATTATCCTCAAGATCTACTAAACCATAACAGCAGAACTTTATGAAATATAGTTAGAAAGAAATAATCAAACTCAAGAAACAACAGAACAAAAGGAAATAAAAAGAAAACTTGAAGAATTTCCAAACATAAAATCAAAAAATAATGAAAAAAATAATGAAAAATATAAAAAACAAAAAAACCAAATAGAAAATTCCAAAGATCATATCTTAATTATAGCAATAGATTACACATTACAGATAGATACCTCGATTTATAAGTTTATTTTCAATTTATTAAAAATAGATATTAGTGAGGCCGTAGTGGTTGAAACTTACTAATTGTAAAATCTAATTTTACACGGTAGTAGGTTAAGTCGTATCGTTAGATTAGCTAATGCAATTTCATCGTATTCTTTATAATACTTAAAGAAAACTGTATGAGATTACGCTAGTCTGCTAAAATAAATAAATAAATAAATAAATAAATAAAATAAATTTAGTTCAGTCTAAGTAAAGTCAAAATTTTCACTAGTTACTATCAAATGTACTTCTAATTAAAGTTGTAGCTTATATTTTTGGCTACAAATTTCTATAAGATTCTTTATAGTTACGATCAATACTTATCGAAATCGAATAATTATAAAGTTATAGTTTTAAAATTCGAATTTTGAAAAGTTTTCTTTAAGTTAAATTTTTTCAACAAATATCCATCTAATTTCAACATAAAAGGTATTATATGAAAGGCCAGAATCAGGGGAATAAATAAAAAAAATTTTGACCCAATTTAATAAATTAGATCATGAGTTATTAGCAAATAAAAATTTATTTAAAAAATACAAATTTTTAGGTGGTTGGATACTTTTGGCAGGGGAGTGTACTTGACAACATGTATCTGATAACATTATTTTTTCTATTAAGTATTCTATGTGGTATACAAAATGAGTTCTCAAGATGATATTAATTAAAATTGGCAGAAAATTGAAAAATGACGACACGCGACTGAATGTATCATTAGATATATTTTTTTACCCATGTGACTTAATACATAAAATGTACCACCTTGGTGCGTGGCCTAAAAAGCAAAATGCACGTCAGTCGAGTATGGCCTAAAAAACAAAACACATGTCACATTGGCATATATCTTAGCGGCTCTCAAGTGATGATACAAATGTAACCTATATGGCATCCGATGTGTAGACTATAACTGTCCCAGGTGTACGGCCTAAAAAGCAAAATGCACGTCACTCGAGTGTGGTTTAAAAAGCAAAATGCACATCACACCTGAGTATATTATAGTACAATCTAAGTAGTTTATAGTTTCCTGAAAACTATAAACTACTACTAACATACTAAAATACAACATTCTAGTGTATTTAAGTACAAAAGAATTATTATACTGAAAAGGAATTCCAATTTTAGTTGAATTGTAATATAGGATACAATAGGATAGTCAATTTTTCCAATTTTTAGCAAATCTATAATATAGAAATTATCATTTAATACAGTAATTCTTTTGTATTTTACTAGTGTTATTTGAACATTTTGTACTTATAGCATACTAGAACACAATGTTCTAGTGCATTATTTGAACATTTTGTACTTATAACATACTAGAACTATATTTGTAC